CGGGATTTGAACCGCTCATGGCGCTTACTACTACTACTACTAGTACTACTACTACTACTGCTACTACTGCTGGCACCACCACTACTACTACTACTACTACTACTACTACTACTGCTAGCACCACCACTACTACTACTACTACTACTACTACTACTACTACTCCTACTACGACTACAGTCCGAAATGCGAGGTACAGCATCAAGGCACAGCGCACGCTATTTTTCAAGACGCCGGGCAGCATCATCGTGTTGTCGCTGACCTGTAGCATTACAGATTCAAGTCCGAGACCCAAGGAAGACATCGCGAGGACATAGTCAGCAATTTTGTTGTTGGTGGGACTTGTCTAGCGCTCTGCCCGATGGTGTTTAGAGCCCCATCTTCGTCTGGCCAAGATGGCGAGCAAGTCCAGTGAAGATCTGCTTCACTTTTGATTCTGCTATCAATATCTTCAACGCCTGCATCTTTTGCAGTTCGGCATTCGGTGCAATGCAGCAAAGCCTGGCCGTACACTCGCAACTCTGAGCCTGGCACCAAGACCCTAAGTCTCAAAGCTTGTGTCTCCGCCTTCCCCAGCCTCTAAAGTGCCGGCCCACTCCTCAATGGGCTGACCTGTGCCTCTACAGTGAACCGGCACGAATATCGATTTGTTTTGGCCGGCGATTGTTTTTCATTAACACTGTCGTCTTCCGAGAGAACTCAACAGTTGATATTACGAGTGCTTGGTTCTCGCCTCTCATGAGATGGCAAAGGCTTGTTTTGGGGCTCAAGGCCCAGCACCTCAATGAAGGGCTGTCTGGCAATCTTAGAGGGTTTCACAAGTCGCGGGAAATAAGCCAGTCTGCATGGCCCTATCCCCGAGGACCGGAAAGTTGAGTATCCATGTTGTAAGGATCCGATGTTGCCTAATCTTCAGATAAGGCCGGACGAGGGCCCGAAACCCTAAACTCAAAGCGCTGAAGCCCGCCATCCAGAACCTTAAATCCGAGGAACCTGAAGCAGAAGCCTTCCTCGCCATGTTTTGCAGCTGGCGCGACGGTGATGGTGATGGTGGTGATGGTCATGACTGTTCTGCTGACGACTGTTGTTGCGATGACGGTTGTGACGCTCAGGGGGTGAAGCTGGCGGTGACGGTGGTGATCAGACCATGATCGCGATGTTGCGACGGTGGTGTGATGGTGCTGCCGATGGTGATTATCTGGTCGTGAGATCGCGATGACGATCTCACGGTGATTTTGTTGTCGCAGCGTTCTGGTGCCCGGCAGTGGATGGTACGTCGGCAACTTTACACAGATACAGCATGATATATATATATATATGCATTTGTTTACAATATCGGTTATATGTACACATACGCATATGCATATACAGGAACTCTTCACACACGCTCTTTTGACGGATGGCATCGTGGTTCTATATTTATCACAAAGGATCAGCCAGCAACCTGGCGTCTGTTGTGTTTAGTGGCCCATCGTGCAGTCATCATGCATGCATCCGTGCATGCAAGCACAAGTACATGTATATGAATGTATCTACACAGAGGTATGTCTTCGCACTACATGCACACAATCATTTCGCTCGCTCTCTCTCTCTCACCCCGAAATTCATATATATAGATATATATATCCGCATACGGCACATGTGCCCTTAATTCGTAAGGCACAAGTTATCATGGAAGATACCCGTTTGCAATGCACTGCGTAACTAGTCGTGATGCTGGTCGTGACAGCTGCGGTCATCATCATGATTGGTTCGATGGTGACGCATGTTGGTCCTACCCTTCATCTTACGACACCCGCAATGCCATTCTCCTTCTCCACCTGCCTGGCTCCGGCTTCCGCTTCTACCGTAGTGCTGCTTCTGGGCGCCTCCTGGTGCGAGCCAGGTATGAGGGAAGCGTTTACAACGTGGCCGTCAATCCCGAAGCAGGTACCGTGGCAGCCAGGATCTCAGCTGTATTTCCCGGCAGCTTCCGGCCAAGGGTGTGGGATTTGGGTCTAGCGTGCACGTGCAGGTGCTGAGGGGTATAGCTTTACACGTGATGGCTTCAAAATGGAGGTCACGGCGATGAGAGAAGCCGCAGTATGTCTTCTTGTGTAGCACTAGTACTGTAATAGTACCAACACGACAAAGAAGTAGGATCAGTGTTTGAGTTGCGGTCAGGGCCACGTCAGCCCCAGCAGTGTATTGAGTTGACGCCCCCCAAACTTCAATTAGTCGGTTCGAGTGCGGAAATGAATCGAGCTGACAGCAAGACCTCTAGCCTCTGCGGCGCAGGCGTGCCTGCAATTCTTGCAAGCCGGTGAGGGTGCGACCCAGGCGATGCTCGCTGCCAATTCCTGGATACTCTCGAGTAGTGAATTGTCTCAACGGTTCGGCGGCACAGTCCACGTCAACATGATTCCTTGTGATCTCACTCGAAACCCTATCCTAGAATTGAGCTGTTCTCGCTGCCATCGCCATGGTTTACCATAGTCATCACTGTCATGGCCGCCTGCAGGCTACCCCCCAGACCGTGATTGTCATGGTGATATGGCTCGGGACTCACATACAGCTTCAGCTCCAAGCCCTCAAACTCACCGTCCAGCCTAGCTGAACGTCCTAAAGCAGTTCTTATGTCCACAACTACTCTGAATGACAGACCTGTGTCTCTACTACGCCATACCCTAAAGCCTCCGGCTAAATCCCAAATCACGCGTGCACCCCACAAGGCTGAATCCCCACGCAGGGCCAAAGCGCTGCAGCTTTAGGTACCGATTTGTTTTTTTTTGTCTCTGCTTTAAAGCTGAGGAAAGCTACCAACACTGTATCTAGACGGCAGGGTTAACGGAACTGCCGGCTTTTCGAGACTGACATGTGAAGGTTGGGATTACCTAGCTTTGGGCTCAGGTTCAGGCTTCAATCCTAAATACCCAAAACCTACACCAACCCCCCCAACCCTCAAGGCCATGAATTCCGAGTCTGCCGAACAGAAACTTTAAGCCAGATCTTCTGCCAGCGGAACGAGTCTCAAGTCGAACACACCCCTTCAGGCCCAATGGCCATCTGCAGCATGAGGCAGGGCAGGGTGTGAGAAACGTGGTGATGATAATCAAAAATCATGCCGCTGTACCCTGGGTCCCAGTCATAGTAACCGGGATCTGTTTGTTGATTTAAAAAGAAGAACAGCAGGGGAACCGCCGTCATACACGGTAGCACGGGGGAACCACTTCGGAAGCAGACCCTAGAATTGGGATCCAGGGCAGATGCTTTTGGAGCTTTGGGCTCAGGGTTGAGCCAGAAACTGTCTCAGCTCCGGTCTAAGGACCTGCTTCTCGGTTTCTTTTAGCCG